TTTTTTTTTTTTTTTTTTTTACCCAAGAGTCCCGTTGGCAGAATTCGACAGACTCGTTCTATAATTTTTCTAGACAATTATCAGCTGTTTCGTTCCCTTCCTGGTGAGATAAATTAAAAAAAATTTTAATAGAATTAAGAAGGGGAAGAGGAGATACGCAACATTCCACCCGTGGAAGACAATTCAATGCGACAGATGATTCTATTTTCCTCCTAGAAAAAGAGAGAGAAATTTTCCACGGAGAAATCTACGAAACAGCTGAAGGTTGAACGCATCATAAACGTGACACTGGGAGCACGTGCACACGCGAGCGGCCAATCTCCTCCGGACAAAACCGAGAGAGAGAGAGAGAGAGAGAGAGAGAGGCGAGAGGTGAAAAACCTTCTACTGCGGAGAAAGGAGAGAATCGATTATCAACGTTTCGAACCTCCGCCAATCCGAGAGTTGAACGACCGTTAGAAATCACCACGCTCCATCAAAAATTCAACTTCAACTTCCTCGAAATCCAAAAAAAATCCCTCTTAAAAAGATCCATTTATCAATCTCGCGTCAACAAAAAAATTATTACATTTCGCTGCAATAGAGAAGAGAAAGAAAAAGAAAAATCTCTCTCTCTCTCGATCTCAGTCGCGAGGAACGAAGTGGACAACGAGGAAAGAGCTCTGTTGCGCGACGTAGGCCGAAAGGACCGGCGCGGATAGGAGCGGGCTTGATGTACCGTTACGAGGCAGAATGGCGGGTTGTTAGTGTGGCAGTGTGTTAGCCGGGCAGGATCACGTAGGTAGGTAGGTAGGTAGGTTGCCGGGTAGCCTCTCCCCGGGCGGAGGTGTAGGTGTATAAACGTGAGCGCGTACACGACGAGGTGAGCCGCGACGAGGAAGAGAGGTGCCGCCGCCGTTGCACCTCTCGACGTCTACCGCGATCCTCCTTCCTTGGCTAGGACGAGCAGCTGTGCTCGTAGGTAGCCGGGGGGGAACCTGTCCCTACAAATCTTTATAACCGCTACCGCCGTCACCCGCCCCCTCCTCCTCCTCCTCCAACGAGGCGACCGGTGTCCGCAATATATCAGAGGCGAGGAGAGAGGGAGGGGGGAGGCCTCCTCTTCCTAGGTCCTACCGCTACGTTACGATATTACAACCGATCCGGGGAGGATAGTGGTTCCGGCCTCGTCACACGGAGTTTCGTCTTCTCTCCTTCTCCCCCTCCTCCTTTCCAGCTTCGTCGATTTATAATACCCGCGCGGTTCCTGTCCCCTTCTCGTCTGGGAAAGAGTTAACCTTTTGCCGAGATCGAATTTCTGCCGCCACGGAATTGGGACGATTATGCGCGACAACGATGCGCGATGCAATAGTTTCCGCTTGTTTCTCTTCTTTTAGAAGGGGGAGTGTTATTTTTGGAATTTTAAGTTTTTATGGATAATTTGATTGGTGAATTTTTAATAATAATGATAATTATTATTGTTATTACGGGTACGAGATTTTGCTTGGAATTTGTATTATATTAAGGATGATTTAATTTTAAGGGGAAGAATAAGGGATCTGGGATAGAGAGAGAGTTTTCTATTCGATCATCGTGATGGTGGTAGATAAATTTGGGGCCGAGTAACAGCAGGCTGCGAGTGGTGCGATAAAGTGGGTCAGGCGTGTTCCAACGCGCGGTGGAATGTCAAAAATCAGCATTTGCAATTCGAGCGCGACCGTTACTTCTCCTCTCCGATTCATTAAATTACGCGCAATCCTCTCTACACGAGCGCTCACCTCCCCGCCTGGTTGCACGATCCTCGCGAGACTTCCGCGTCCGCGGAGGAAGGAGACGAACACCCGACCCGTGTCCTCCTTTTCTCGAAAATCAATCCCACGCAATCCAAGTTTTGGTTAAAAAGTTGACTAGTTCGAAGGGATAAGATTTTTCCCAAATTATCTTACTCCATTCTACGGAGAAGAATAAAATTATTAGTTTACTTTTGTTCGAAGCGAGGCGTAGCATGGCCAAACTTGTACACGACAGTTACTGGGCTCAACCGAGTGTAAAATTGTTATTACTCGATAAATTGCAGCGGCGACACCGAGTTGCGCGCGGTGAATAACCGGCTTCGTGAACTCCGCGACAGCCTTAACATCGTTCCAACCCGTTACCTTCGACGGAACCACTTTCACCCTTCCAACCGCCCCCTTTAACCGCCTCTTTGACCGGATCGAGACAAATTTCTACGTAATTTTTAAACAAAATTTCCAAGATATAAAAAACAAACGAATAAAGAGTGAGGAAGAAAAAGATAAATTGGAAAGAACTCTCGTTTCTTTCGAAATGCGTTAAAAAAAAAAAGAATTAACGGAANTCGAAATGCGTTAAAAAAAAAAAAGAATTAACGGAAAATTAAAAACTACACACACATATATATATATATATAAATTCCAAAGAGATCACGCGATGGGAAAGGAGCGTGAGCACTCTGTTGCAAACGGTCTTGCAAGGGTCAAAAGGCTAAAACCCGCGCGCGTGTACCATAAACACGAATCGGCCAATCGGCTGCTTTATCCTTGCCGCTTCCTCGATACGCGACAGATACGGGGAATGAGAATAAACGAGTCGCGAAAGTGACACCGTGACTGGCATCGCGCGGCGGTGTATATTCGGCCGGCTTTCTGCCCGGCCAAAGTTAAAAGACAATTAATCTGAATAACTCAGCCTAGACCCGACTCGGTTGTCCCACATTTCGCTACGCAACGACGACGAAACGCCTCCGCTCCCGTTCCCAGAATTCGCTTCCAACGTTGGATTAGATTTTAGTTTAACGCGAGCTTCGATTTTTTTCTTTTCACTTTCGAAAATTTCTTTACAAAAATTTTACAAAAGTTTTTCCTCTTCGAAGAATCGAATTGAATTTTGTGAAAATTTTCGTTTCGTCTCTAGACGCGAACGTCTACGCGAACACGATTCCCCAGCGGAAGTGTTTCTTTCTTTCTGTCTCTTCTTCGAAAGAGAGGCTCTTCGTGTTGTCATCGATATATAAATAAGAGATAAATATTTATCGATAGCTCGGTTTTCCTTCTCGCTCCATTGTTTCGCGCCGATTCGATGAGATAAGTGTTAACGGGCTGGGGAGCTGAGGGGGGGAGGGGAACAACGGTTTTAATATCATCGGTTGCGAAACGGTTGGCGTTGATTGACGGCGGATTCTTCATTTCTCTTTAAACACACGGGATCTTATGACGAGATCTTAACGAGAGTTTCATTTAAAGTTCAATAATAAAATTTCATTATTCCTTTCCCTTCCCTTCGTTCTCTGTTTGCTTTTCATTAGGATCCTCATTTACGATGAGGATGAGACAAAATTAGAGAGGAAAAATCTCACGGGTACGCGATCAAAAGGTGATAGGTATATAACTTTCACTTTCTTTGTTTGCGCGGATTAATTGTAATTATTTGATTGTTTCAAAACATTGGAAAGTGTTTGATCAACGAGGATTGGAGAGGGGAGAAATTTCTTTTCTTTCTTTCTTTCTTTCTTTCTTTCCTTCTTTCCTTCTTTCTTTTCTTCTTTTTTTTTTTTTTTTTTTTGAAAATTCTTCTCGAGAGGAATATATCATCGCACGCGCATTTTCTCCGCGAATCAATAATTGCTCGACAAATATCCCGACCACCGTGTTGTCCGTGTATTTTCTCCGCTCTCCGTTGTTTAAACGGCCAACGTTGGGAAAAAAAAGCCGCCAACTTTCGTTACTCAACTCCGAAGAATATCCGGCCCCTTCGAAATTCGACTAATTCCTAAATCCCTCGATCGAGCATGCAAGCATGCTTTTTAAAAACTTTCCAACCGATTCTAGATACAATTTTTCCAAGATCAGTTTCAAATCATCCCATTTGAAATTAGAGAAGGAGAGATGTTGTGAGCAGGAGGAAAAACTTTTTGAAGAAAATTGGTCGAAATCGAGCCGAAAATCGCGGTGGATGTCGAAGCGGCCAGGCTAATTTTAGAGGCATGTTTCAGGATCGATTCGACCGGCCAATTTATTCCTTTCACGCAGCCGGCCAACGCGGAGAAAACAATAGTGAACGTGCGCGCGCGCTATCGTAAATAGCGACGCGTGATTTGCATAAGCCGGCTTGTTCACGATTCACGAA